TAAGTCTCTTGGGCTCATAGGGTTTGTGGCTTTGGGGGGATTTAAGTTCAGGCTGCGCACTTCCAAGGAGGGTTGTGGATAGTTTGGAGCTCGGCAAAGCCCGCAAATCCCTGAGCCTCTCCGTTGTTTCTTGTAGTGTCTTTGCTGGTGGATGTTTATGGCCTTAGAAACCCTCATGCAGAAGCACTCCAGAACCCGGTAGGGGTCGCAGTCGACAGGGCAAACACGGACGCCCCTGAAGGGGACGGACATCCTGCGTGGAGAGGTTACGAGCAAGATGAGGCTCTTGGCTCTGATCTTGCGTTTGTATAAGGCAAGGGTTCAAGTTAACGGGTTCGGCTCAGACGCCTACGGTAGTCGCGACTGGCGCTCTTCCTCGTCCTGAATGACAAACACAGCCATTCTTCAGTTGCTACCGTGGCTGCTTCCTGCACGCCCCCCTCCGTGCAAAGCTGCAGAGCTCATCGCGGAAGACAGGACCTGGGAAGCAGCAAAGGCCAGGCGTCGAGCTCTCAACCTGCCTCGCCAAGCAGATACCCGTGCCCCAACTGCCAGGGTGGTTGTCTGGGTTCAGTTCCGCAGCCAGCTAAGACGTCCTACCCAAACTTGAGCCTCCCTAACTCCATCCCAGCTGCACACTTGCGCTGTGAGAAGAAATCAAATTCTCACAAAAATAGAAAACCTCAAAAGCTTCAAACTCACCCATCCGAAACACTGAGAGCTGGGCTTCCTCCAGGCGCTCTGCGCTCCGGCGCCTCGCAACGGGAGGGCTCTGAGCGGGGAAGGGCTCCACATGGGCTTCGGACTGAAGGGAAAAAGATCTTCCCCCAAAAAGGAGTACAGTAGAGGCATCCTTATGAGGCTGGGGGCTGAGGGCCTCAAGGGCTGTTGTGAAAAAATAGGGCCAGGTCTCGGCAAGCCCTGTGGATGCGCAGAAGAGCACGGATGCGACAAGCAGCTTCACGTTTTGGCTTGCGAGCGGTCCAGCGCCTAAATGCGACATCTGGGCGGAAGCGCTCTCATCTGCAGTCTTCTGTGCAGGGTCCTCAAGCCTGGAAGAGACTAAACTGCAACGAGCTCTTCTTCTGGCACTGCGGCCCCCCACTGAACATCGCTTGCTGCGGATGTCTCCGGCACACCCACCCCACAGACCCTCAGCATCCGCAACACAGATACACCGTAGGTTTACATGGACGAGTTTTGGAGCATGTAAAGCAGGGGTCACGTGCGCTGCGCTCGAATGACTCCAGCGACAAGCCAAAGAGGATAAGGCACAGGCATGCCCAGGCAGCCGTGCGCTGACCTCCTTGACCACACAGCGCCGGAGTCCGTGAATTCGCAAAAATCCGCAATCATGGGTTGGCCCACTCAACAAGTCAGACACATGTGGGCTCCATCTATACACGTCATACAAGCCTAGTCCATGTACTCACCCGCCGTGATCGGGATGGAGGCTCTGCCATCCATGCAAGCATCTGAGGGACCCGGGCCTCCCTGGCTCTTTCCGCCACGACGGATGGGCGGCTTCTTCTTGTGGCCCAAGCTGAGGATGCAGGTGGGGCGGGAGAAGACGGCCACGGGCAGCTAGGGCTCAAAGACGATCTTCAGCACCTGGCAGGCCTCACGCCGAAGGACGACGCTGCTGAGGGCCGCGACCTCCCCGGAGTCGAGCATCACCAGGTCGCCCGCCTTCAGCTTGCCAGCTGCAAGGTAGAGGCTCTCTTCCGCCTTTGCATCGGCGACCTGCACCAAGTGGTCCGGAGTCACCCGCAAAGTTGCAGTGCCCGCCTGCAACTCCACAACCTCGCTGGCATCGCAGATCTCCGGCGTCTTGGCCACCTCCAGGATAGATGCGTCATCTCCGGCCACCACCTGCGACCCTTTCTTGAGGTCTCGCCCCATCAAGAAGAAGTCCGCCCCGAAGCTGCGCGTCTTGAAGATGGCATCAACCATGAAGCACTGGGGTTTCACGGAGTCCGGCTTGACTGAGAACCACGAGGAGTGGCTCAAGACCGAAGAGGCTGTGCCGTCGTCATCCACGAAGCTATACCCCAGCCGCTCGGCAAGATCTGGTTCCTGGCTGTTGGAGGCTTCGTCGACAGGAGCTTCGCAATGCGGTGTGTGATCGGAGTTGAGATGATGGGACTTCTTCGCCTGAAGCAGTTGCTTCTCCAGCTCACGAATGCGCTCCTTGTGCATGCCGTGCTCTTCCCGCAGATCTAAAAGCTGACCAAGCATTGCCGATCTGTCAGCCTCTGCTTTGGTAAGCTGCTGCTGAAGCTGCTCGCAGCGGTCTTGCAACACTGCCTTCTCGAGCTGCAGCTCGGCGTTGCTTCCCGGATCTTGTGCCGACGCCAAGCGGGCCACCTCTGCCTGCCGGCAGCGCTCCTGGTAGCTGCGACTCTCCTCTTGCAGCCGCTCCGCCTCCATCCTCCT